TCCCATCCCATCCCACCCCCCTGCTTGTTCAGTGCCTCCATCATGTGGTAGGCTCAGCTCACCTGCCCTGGGGCTGGGACAGGTACCCAGGGGCTTCTCCATGCCTTAAATAACCCCCCTGCCCCCCAGAGCTCCCACTTCTGCTGTCTTAGAGGCTGGGACCACCACAAAGCTGTTTCTGGTCCTGTGGGACTCTAGCAATTCCACAAGACCCTCTGGCTTCAAGGGTCTGGAGCTGGTTTTGGGCCCTGTTCCCCATTCCTGGGATTTCACAGGATCTGTTTCTCATGGCAAAAGGAGGGGGCAGAGGGCTGGAGGAGCTGGCATCTCCCCAGGCTGGGAGTGCAGAGCTGGGCTCAGCCAGACCGAGCACGGCCCCGGCTCTGCATCACCGCTCCCCACGGCTGTGGTTTCCTTCCCTCAGAGTTTCAGCTTTGCCATGCAAAGAACAGCCCCTGTTGGGGGTGGCATGGTGGCTGTTGGTGACACGGCCACCCACCATGGGGACAGGGCACTGGGGATGCCCAGTCCAGGCCCCACAAGCCTGGGCGAGCAGCAGCATGATGGAAACCTCCCGAGCCCTCGTGCCCTGTGCCCGGAGGTGACTCACGGCTGTGAAAACTGGGGGAGGAATTTTAAAAGGGCTGCTGAGCTCTGAGAAAGCAGGTGGAACCAGCACTTCCTGCTCACACCTCCAGCATCACCTCGGCTGGTCCTTTGCTGGTGTCACCTCCTGGCTGTGTCACCTCCTGGGTGGCCTTTGCTGGTTCTGGTGCCCTGTGCATCCTCCACATCCAGGAAAGAGCACAGGGAGATTTGGGATGGGTGCTTGGCTGGTGGCAGGAGAAGCTGTTCAGCAGCTGGGAGCTGGGCTGGGAGCCCCTGGGACAGCTGCTGCTGATCCAGGCTCCATTTGCACCATGCACTTGGGGATAAGGGCTTCCCTTCCTGCTGCAAACCCTCCTCAGCAATTGGGGGTTCTGGACAGCAGCAAAATGAATTTCCAGCTTGGTCCCTCTCCACCAGGCTGGAGCAAAGGTGTGTGGTGAGGACAGAGCCATGTCCGAGCGCCGGGTGGCCGCCAAGGGCCGGCGCTTGGGCTCCAGCCGGCGCAAGCAGCTGCCTGAGAGCTCCAGGGAGGCCCCAGCACCAGCGCCCAGCCCTGGTGAGGAGCCACCATGGGCATCTGAGATAGTGCAGAGGGTGCAGCACCTCCTCAGCCACCGGGCCACGGAGCAGGCGGGAGTCATCACCCGCTCGGACGTGCAGGTGAGGATGGGGACATCTCCTGGGGTCCAGCACTGCCAGGGTGACTGGAGATGGTGTCACGGGTGGGTTTTTACCCTGATTTGCTCTGGTTTTAGAAGCTGCAGGCGGAAGGGTTGCCGTGCAGCAGGGAGGAGCTGGAGCTGGTGTTTGATGGGCTGGATGCAGCTGGCACCGGCCGCTTGGGCACAGAGGAGTTCACGGCCGGGCTCCGTAAGTGCAGCCCGGGCTAATCCTGGACACAGTCCTGGGGCTCTGCTGGGGATGTGAAGCGCTGCCTTTGCAGCGTGGCATGGGATGAATCCTCCCCGTGACCAGCTCTCAGCCCTTGGCTCACCTGCTGCAGGGCCCTGTTGTGCTGAACCCCTTTGTTGAAGCTGTGGAGGGGGAAGCGCTGGGGTTTGGGCTTTGCTGTTGCCCTGCCTGGGCACTGAGGATTTGGGATATCTGTCAGCAGGGCAGTTCCTGAGCTCCCAAACAGCTTCCAGGGAGCACCGGCGGCGGAAGACAGCATCCCGCAGGGTCCGGCTGGTCCTGCCCGCCCTGGCGCTGGAAGGGGGGGACAGCGAGGAGCGCAGACACTTCGCTGCCTTTATGGAGCAGCTGGGCACAGAAAACCTCTCTGAAGAGTAAGTGCCCTGCTTGGCACCCACGGGTGTCCTGCACGATGGATGGACGGGGAAAGGCTTGGGACAGGAGACCCCACCCAGGCAGGGAGCCCAGGAATGCCTTGGCCTGAGCACAGGAGCAGGGTCCCAGTGACCCCAGGGCTCATCGGTCCTCGCACATCTCAAAAATGTGTGAGTTAAATGACTCAGCTGGCCTGACTTCGGGGGTTCTGGGGGATGCTCACCCCAAAACACCTCTCCCTGCAGACAGGAGATCTGGCAGCTCTGGGTGAAGCTGCGGCAGGATGAGCCCCAGCTGCTGGACAATCTGGAGGACTTCCTGGCCAAGATGAGGCACCGCATCCAAGAAGCCAGGAGCGAGAAGGAGGCTTTGGAGCTGACTCTGAACAAGTGAGTCACCCCAGGGGACAGGACAGGAGGGATGGGACAGGGATGGGGCCCTGGAGGGCCTGGGTGCTTTCAGCATACCCACCAGCGGCCGGAGCAGAGGTTTGGCTGATGTTTGGGGTCGGGCTCCCTCTGCAGTCATGGATGGGATGGCAAAAGGGCCGGGTCGGACTGCCGGACACCTCCGTGCTGGGTGACACCCTCCGGGCACACCCACCGCAGCCTGAGGCTGCCGAGGGCACTGTGGGCTCCCAGGGTCCTGCTCCCCCTGTAGCGGGGTCTCCCGAGGGCACTGTGGGCTCCCAGGGTCCTGCTCCCCCTGTAGCGGGGTCTCACAGCCCGCTGTCGCCACAGGCGTGTGGCCGAGCACGACAAGGACGTGCAGCAGCTCTGCGAGGCCCTGGAGCAGCAGATCCAGCAGGAACAGCTGCGGCTGCAGCAGCAGGTGGGTCCCTGCTGCTCCTGTCCCCCTTGTCCGTGCCGGGGGGACCCAGCACCCCAAACCCCCTCGGCAGCTGGGGGAGAGGGTGCCAGCGTCCCTGTGCCACCGCAGAGCACGGCCCGGGGGCAGCAGCAGGGCGAGGAGCTGCAGCGAGTGCTGGAGGCCAGCGAGAGGGAGCTGCAGCGCTTGGTCACGGCGCAGATGGAGGTGGGCAGGAGCCAACCCCGCTTTGTGGCTCAGGGGTCTCTGGGCTGTGCTGGAACAACCCCACGGTGCTGCAGGGCTGATCCCGGGGTGTCCCCAGCACCCTGTCACACAGGACCCTCCCCACACTCCCCTCCATCCCCAGAGGACACGAGTTGAGTTTCCCACCCACCATCCTCAGGGGACGGGGGTGTCACAGCCCCGGGGCAGGAGGAGGAGGTTTGAATTATTGTGTGTGGGAGGGGATTTTGGTGGGCTCTGAGTGTCCTGGTTGCCATCCCACAGCTGGAGCGGCGCTGCCACAGCCTCCACAGCTCCCAGCAGGTCACCAGCATGGAAAACCAGCAGCTGGAGCAGAGCAACCGGGCACTGGAGCATCACCTGCAGCACCTGCACCAGCAGCTGCAGCAGACCCAGGGCCACCTGAGGACAATGAGGGCTACAGTGGTTTGGCAGCACATGGGGGAGCCCGGGTGAGCAGCTGAGTGACCCTGTGTCCCCACACACATCATTTCTTCCTGGATGGGCCTCAGCCATCATGGTGCTTGAGGTTAATCATGGCTTGGTGTGCAAAGCATCAGAGGAAAAGGCAGGACTATCGGCACCATGTGTCCCTGGAGGGCAGTGCCAGAGACATGGGGGTGTTCTTCAGCCAGGAGGGCTCAGTAGGTCTGATCCAAGATTGTGGGTTTTGCTGCTCTCTCACTACCCTGACAGCCCTGGTGCAGGGGTGGATGTGGTGAAGAGGATGGAGCTCCCGTTTTGACCCTTGTGCTCTGTGTTTGCAGGGACAGAGTGGTGGCAGAGTTACCCATCGAGGTGCCAATGTCCCCACAGGTACTGCAGCTGGGGGCAGGGCAGGGTGTCCAGGGCCTTGTGCTGTTCCATTTGGGACTGCTGAGGAGCTCAAGAGCACAGGGTGCTCCTGCAGCACTGCCTCCCCTAAAAGCTCTCTCAAACAGGGCTGGTGCAGATGTTTGGGAAGGGAGAGGGTTGCAGCACCTTACTTTTTGTACCCCCAGGATTTTGGGTGGGTACAGCTGGATCCCTGCTGGAGAGTTCCACATTGTTCCAGGTGGATATTCTCCCTCACCTAGTGTTCCTCTTCCCACCCTGCTCCCCACAGCTGAGTCCTGGGAAGAGCGAGCAGTTCCGCTCCGAGATGAGGATCAGGCTGGGATCCCAGAGCAGCGAGAGCAAAGCCAAGAGCACCCACCAAGTGTAAGGGGTCCTGCTGCTCCCATGTGTGCTCCTGGGGTCTGTGAGGTGGGGCTGAGCCCCAGGCCCTCCCTCCATCCTCCACCCTTCCCAGGCAAACAATGATCTTTTGTCCTTTGAGCACTCCTCTCCCACCCACTCATCTCTCACCCTGAGCTTACACCTCTTATCCCAGCTCATCCCTCCTTTGGCTCAGGAACTTGCTGTACCTGGTTGTGAGTTGCCTTTTCCTGTCTGATAATGTCAATCCGGGTACTGGGAAGAGGCCAGGATGCAGCCCTGGGTCTGGCTGCCTGTGTGTGCATCCCCCTTTCCCTTGCTCCCATTGCTGCCTGTGTGGACTCCAAGTGCACCCAGAGGGGAAATAAAATCAGGTTTGGAGAGGGATGGGGCGAGGGATCAGGGACCCTCTGGGACTGACTGGGGATGGGAGAGAGCTGGAGCCTGACCTGGGAGCTGGTTCATTGCCCCCATTTTCTGCCCTTTCCAGGGTTTGGGAAATGCTGCCAGCAGAAATAAACCTTCCTGGAGCCCCACGGACAGCAAGCTCTGCAGAAGAGGACCCCTTCCCAGAATCTCTGAAAGAGGAAGGTGTCTCTGACCAAAGCTCTTTGCTAAGAGAGATGAATGATGCAATAGCAGCTCTGAGCAAACATCTGAAGGCACAGGCAGTGGGTGCATCCCATGCCCTGGCAGACATGCCCTGTCACCCCTGGGACAATGCTGAGCCCCAAACGGGGCCAGAGGCAGCCACAGCTCATGAAACAACCCCTGGGGTCCTGCAGGAGACCCTCCCTGGAAATGTCCATCATGAGCTGCTGGAAGGAGACCTGCAAGAGGGAGCAGCCACAGCTGAGCTTCATGCTCTGGATGTGACACAGGCTGGTGCGTCCACGGGAGCTGAGCACTGCACGGCTCAGGAGTCAGGGGCAGAGCAGGGAGACAGCCCAGAGGAGGCACAGAGGATGTTATTCCTGCAAGGAAAGGGTGCTGATGTGGAGGAGATGGTGCTAAATGTGGCTGAGCATCTGGGAGAGAGCATGGAGGCAGGAGAGCAGGTGCTGATGGAGGTGGAGGGAGCAGGGTGGCTACAGGAAAAAACAGCTTGGGCAAAACCACAGCTCCTGGAAGAAGCTGAGGAAGTGAAGATAAGCCTGAGAGAAAATTTGGAGGCAGGTCTGAGACCACCTGAGGCTGGGCAGGAGGGCGTGGCAGCAGGACAGTGCCTTGCCATGGATGAGCAGCAGCCAGGCAGGACTGAGGCTGTTCAGGAGCCAGGCACAGTGCTGCAGGAACGGGCTGACCCAGCACTGGGGCTCCCTGGGAAACTGGAAACTGGGCTGGGAGAGCACCTGGGGCCAGAGCCACCATCCTGGGGTGAGGCACAAGTGGAAGCAGCCCATGGGGGTGGTGTCCCTGGAGTGACAGTGGCTCCTGGCCCAGGAGTGCTGGACAAGGAGTGTGCCAGGACAGAGGTGCAGCCCTGGGGAGAGACCACAGACTCCAAGGCACTGGAGGTGCTGCCAGCCCAAGCTGAGCTTGCAGGGAGCAGCAGAGCCAGGGGCGAGGAAGAGGAGGTGGAGGAAGCAGAGCTCAGAGAGGCAGAGCAGCAGCTGCAGGGTGAGTGTGCCATGGGAGGTGCAGGGTGGAGAGGGAGCGCGGGTTCTCTGGAGCCACTGGCAGTGGCTGTGCCACCCACCCACGGCCAAGGAGGAGCAGATGTGGATCATTCCTGCAAGGGAACAGATGTGGAACTGATGGAGGCTCACAGCAGCACCAACGTGGAGCTGCTGGCAGAGGTGGAGGCAGATCTGCAGGGCTGGAATGAGGCTGGATCCCCAGGGACACAGCAGGGAGGGGGTGTGGATCCAGGTGTGCAGTTGGAGAAGGAGAAACCAGAGGTAGGGCTGGGAGAAGAAATGGGGGCTGCTGCAGTGAACAGTGAGGGTCCTTCCCCAGCAGAAACACCTGTGGGCAGCCCAGACAACTGTCGGCTGTTCCCAGTTAAGTCTCAGGCACTGGAACTGGTGGAGGCTGATCTGCAGCTGTGGGGGGGTCTCAGCCCAGAAACCCCCCAGGGAGGGAAGGGGGAAGGAGCTGTTCAGCTCCAAGAGAAAAAGGAAGAGGATGGGGAACAAGGACAGGGTGAGCAGAGGCTGCCACACGAGCCTGTGCCCCATCCCAGTGCAGTGAGCCTGGATCAGGGAGAGGGGGCTGGTGCAGCTCTACAACCAGGGGGAGAAGCTGAAAGCCTGGACACTACTGAGGACCAGAGCAGTGGTGCCCATGTGCAGCTGACTGCAGAGGGGGATGAGCTCAGTCTGAGCCCAGGAGGGAGCACAGAGGCAGATCTGCAGCCCTTGGGTGAGGCTGGATCCTCAGGGACAGAGCAGGGAAGGAGTGTGGATTTAGATGTGCAGCCCCTGGATCAGGGGGATAAAGAAGAGTTTTTGGAAAGGAAGGCAGAGAATGTGCAGCAAGATATGATGTTCCATGAGGGTCCCAGCCTAGGAGGCCCATGGGGAGGGGAGGGTAAAAGAGCTGTTCAGCTGGAGGAGGAGGAGGAGGATGGAGCACAAGGACAGGGGGAGCACGGGCTACCACACCAGCCTGTGCCTCATCTGCAGGGATCAGGGGACAGGCAGGGAGAGGAGGCAGGTGAACACATGCAAACACAGCAAGAAGCTGAAAGCCTGGACACTACTGAGGACCAGAGCAGTGGTGCCCATGTGCAGCTGACTGCAGAGGGGGTTGAGCTCAGTCTGAGCCCGGGAGGGAGCACAGAGGCAGATCTGCAGCCCTTGGGTGAGGCTGGACCCCTGGGCACAGAGCAGGGAAGGAGCGTGGGTTCAGAGGTGCAGCCCCTGGATCAGGGGGATAAAGCAGATTTAGTGGAAGGGGAGGTAGAGGATGCCAAGTCAGATCTGCAGCAGTGTGGGATTCTCAGCCCAGAAACCTCTTGGGGAGGGGAGGGTAGAAAAGCCATTCTGATTGAGGAGGAAGAGGATGGGGAACAAGGACAGGGTGAGCAGAGGCTGCTACACGAGCCTGTGCCCCATCCCAGTGGAGTGAGCCTGGATCAGGGAGAGGGGGCTGGTGCAGCTCTACAACCAGGGGAAGAAGCTGAAAGCCTGGACACTACTGAGGACCAGAGCAGTGGTGCCCATGTGCAGCTGACTGCAGAGGGGGATGAGCTCAGTCTGAGCCCAGGAGGGAGCACAGAGGCAGATCTGCAGCCCTTGGGTGAGGCTGGACCCCTGGGCACAGAGCAGGGAAGGAGTGTGGGTTCAGAGGTGCAGCCCCTGGATCAGGGGGATAAAGCAGATTTAGTGGAAGGAGAGGCAGAGGTTGCCCAGCAATATACGCAGCTGCCAGAGGGTCTCAGCTCAGGAGTCCTGTGGGGAAGAGAAATTGAAACAAATGTTCACATTGAGGAGGAGGAGGACGGAGCACAAAGACAGCAAGAGGGTGAGCTGCCACATGAGCCTGTGCTTGATCTGCAGGGATCAGGGGACAGGCAGGGAGAGGAGGCAGGTGAACACATGCAAACACAGCAAGAAGCTGAAAGCCTGGACACTACTGAGGACCAGAGCAGTGGTGCCCATGTGCAGCTGACTGCAGAGGGGGATGAGCTCAGTCTGAGCCCAGGAGGGAGCACAGAGGCAGATCTGCAGCCTTTGGGTGAGGCTGGATCCTCAGGGACAGAGCAGGGAAGGAGTGTGGGTTCAGAGGTGCAGCCCCTGGATCAGGGGGATAAAGCAGATTTCGTGGAAGGGGAGGCAGAGGATGCCCAGGCAGATGTGCAGCAGTGTGGGGGTCTCGGCCCAGGGGTTCCATGGGGAGGGGAGTGGGGAAGAGCCATTCAGAATGAGGAGGAGGAGGATGGGGCACAAGGACAGGGTGAGAATGGGCTGCCACAAGACTCTGTGCTTGGTCCAGACGGAGCACGAGGCCAACAGGGAGAGGAGGCTGGTGAAGGAGTACAGCCACAGGAAGAGGCTGAAAGCCTGGACACACATCAGAGCACTGATGCTGATGTGCAGCTTCTCACAGACCAGCAGAAGCCCAAATCAGGCTCAGGAAGGAACACAGAGGCAGATCTGACACCTCTGGGTGTAGCTGGGATGTGGGAAGGGGAGCAGAGCCTGACTCTAGGTTTGGAGGCAGATCTGGGTGCATCTCCCACTGCAAACCCATGGGAAGGAGCTGCTGCTGCAGATATGCCCTCTCCAACTGGGGCTGCTTTGTGTCCTGAGCCTGTCACTGCTGCAGGGGGCCCTGGACTGGAAGCAAATCTGGGTGCATGCATTGGTCCCAAGGGGGAGATTCTGGAGGAACAGGAATTACTGCAGGGAGAGAGGGCTCCTGCAGAGGGGAAGCCTCTGGATGGAGCTCATGGTCTGGAAGTGGCACGGGGAGAGAGGCTGGAGGCAGGAGCAAGGAATGGAGTGAAAACTCAGGGTGTAGGACTAAACCAGGGCCATGATGACGCTGCATTGACTTCCCTGGTCTCTGAGGTGCTGTTACAAATCAGCCCCCTAAAGCTGGAAACAATGATGCAGGAGGATGTTCTCATTCCAGATGCGTGGCAGCTTTGTGCTCCGGGACAGGCAGCTCAAAGGGAGCTTCAGGAGCAGGTTTCAGCACAGGGACATGAGGGGAGGCTTCACACAGTGGCCCAACAGCCAGAGAGGGAGACACCACCCGCGATGACACTGGAGCACACGGCTGCTGGACCTGCTGAGCATCCAAAGCAAGGGCTGCCACCAGCATCAACACTGCACACAGTGCGACCAGAAGATGCCGGGAGGGATCAGCTGGGGCTGGTCCTCAGAGACAACTCACTGTGGCAAAGGCAGCTCTTGGGAGAACAGAGCAAAGACCTGCTTGGTCAAAGAGAGAAGATGCAAGAGTTTGGTCAGAAAATGAGCCAAGAAGGTGATTCCAGCCCAGAAGAGCCAGGGGCTGTGACTGCAGGTGGGGCAGGAGCTGCCCCAAGGGGTTGTTCCAAAGCTGCCCTGGACCCAGACCACCTCTACAACGTGCTGTTCATTGGGGACTCTCATGTGGGCAAAACGTCGTTCCTGTACCGTTTGCACGCTGACACCTTCAACCCCCACCTCACCGCCACAGTGGGTAGGTCTCCTCCAGCCCCTCTCCGAGCACTTGCTTGGATCATGGCTGCAATTCCCTTTCCTCCACCCCGCAGGCTGCTGGAGGTCACCACATCCTGTTACAGCTCATGCCAAGCGTGTTGTACAAGCGGTCCCCAGGGGCCAACCACAACCACCAAGTCCCCATGCCTGGATGCTCATGGGCAGGAAATGCTGCTCCTCCTGGTGGGCACCAGCGACAGCAGCCTAGTGCTTTCCTCTCTGCTTTGCCTTTCAGCTCCATTCTCCTCTCTTCTCCAACCTGGTTTTATTCATCATGCGATGAGAGACCTTCCCAAAATCCAACAATTAAACATCTAAAAGGCAGAGGTTCACTTGGGACCAACCCCTGGAGCTGCAGACTCAGACTACCCTGCATGACATTTCTTCTCCATCCATCTTCTGTCACAGGGCAGAACTCTACACTATCAAAATATCCTCTTTTGTGTCTTCCAGGACTGGATTATCAGATCAAAAACCTCGTTGTGGATAACAAGCGCTTTGCTCTCCGCCTGTGGGACTCAGCTGGTCAGGAAAGGTGAGGTGCTGTGCTGCTTAAGGACACAACCTGAGTTGTTTTTTTTTCTATGAAGTTTAGGGGCAATGAATATACTTGGCTTTGCTAAGCAAAGGTGAAGTTGCTCAAGGAGGGACTCTGTACGGTATGTGATCTGATAAAGCATAATAAAGGAAGTAATTAAGATAAAACCAGCACTCAGGCTGTTCCTACAGCCCCTGCCATCAGGACAGGAGCCAAATCTGGGGCTTGCCTTGTAGACCTGCATTCCCACCTTTTCCACTAGGATGTCACATCACTCCTAGGCAGAACCTCCTTAGACCATGCTGGTGATCATCCAAAATGCCCACAGGTACCACAGCATGACCAAGCAGTTCTTCAGGAAGGCGGATGGGGTGGTGCTGATGTACGACATCACCTCCGAGTACTCCTTCTCTGACGTGCGCTACTGGCTCAGCTGCATCCAGGTGAGGGAGGTCCCTGGCTCTTGGGACTGATAGGAGTGGCCAAGCCCTTTGGAAAGGGTACTCTGCACTGCTTTCATGATAAAATAATTTTTCGTGGAGGATTTAAGTCAGATGCAGATATCTTTCCCATGCTGGCAATGTTTCCCAGGGTAATTTGTTGATAGCATCAGAAGGGTAATGATCAACTCTTAAGCAATTAAACACTAGTGCAAATGAATGGAAAATGTTGCTTTTACATCAATAATAGTCCACTTTGAGTCCTGGGGAATGGGAGGTGATTCAAAGCTTATTAAAAACTTCTTTTCAGAGATTTCTAGTTGACACAAAGCCAGTGTTTAAAAATGCTGAAACAAAATAGGATATTGCCTTGCTCAGTGCCTGTAAATCACAGCCAGAGCACCTTCAGAGGGGCTGCTGCAGTTGAGAACAAAGGAATTTGTTACAAGTGTAACTGATCCAGTGCTCTGTCCTGTTAACAGACATGGGCAGATGATTTAAGGAAAAAACCATAAATCTTAAATGCTGTTGAACTTATTTAAGAATTTAAAGTTTTGTTATTAGCCCAAATCCATGGGTGTCAGTCATGGTGTTCCAGGACATGTGGAGACAATGTGGCCAGCTGGGATTCAAGGAAGATTTTGAAGCTGTCCTGATCTTCCCTTCATTCTCACTCAGGAAGCAGCAGAGGATGGAGTTGCTGTTCTGCTTCTTGGGAACAAAACCGACTGTGCTGCCCAGAGACAGGTCCCTACAAAGGAGGGTGAATGCCTGGCCAAGGTAGGTGGTGAAGCACAGCCACTCAAGCGAGGCGGGGACACCACCAACCTGAGGAGCTGGAGAAAGGAGAAAGCCCTTAATTTACCCCTCATGCATCAGTGGTTGCCAAAATGTTCTCTGAACACATCTCTCACCCTTCCCTGCCTTGTTTTTCTTTAATTTTGCCTCAGCACAACCTGAGTAAATTGGTTTATGGAACTGGGTTTGTAAATTAAAACATTTGCAGCTCTGCTTGTCTTTGCTGTGAAGTGTTGAGTATCTTCCCAGCATCATAAAAAATAATAAACCCACTGAGCCCTCTTCTGGTTTAAAGATACGGAAATTATCAAAGTTTGATTCATCTCTTCAAATATAGATGGCAAATAAAAATTAGGTGAGGAGAATGAGATGAATTTCACCTTTACTGACTTAATTTTAAAGCTAATGGGATTTGGGCCAGAATCCACGGACCAGTTTTACAAATGGAGATGAGGGATAGATGTTTATTTTCCCAAACTGGTAGGGAACAAAAGAGTTGGGAACATCTAGTTATGCCTCTGTGTTTGCTCCCATTACCAGAGGGCATCACAAATTCTTCAGTCTGCACAGTCAGCCTTTTCCTTGGTATTAAAAGCTGGTGTTGTAGCAACCAGAAATTAGAGATTTCACCCTTATATTCTAGTAAATAAGTTATTGAGTTATTTGTTTCCTTGATTCCCTCCTATTTCCCCTTGACAGGGACTGTCCCATGGCTATTTATTCCCATATTAAGTGGGAATTTAATGTTCCAGCGCAAGAACATTACATTTCTATTCGGGGTCTGTGTCTTCTAGGAGCATCAGCTCATGTTTTATGAGTGCAGCGCTGCCTCGGGCCACAACGTCTTCGAGTCCATGGTCAGCTTCATCAGGTGAGCTGTGTGCTTGGATTTTTCCAGCTGTCCTCAACTTAATGGGCTCCCTCCCTGCTTTTTAAACTCCAGATACAGGGATGTCACTGTCACCAGAGACTCCATGCCTAAATGTCAGGGAAAACTCAGGGCAGCACATGCTGGGATGAGCACTTAGCAGTGCCCTAACTTATCTCCTGAACAACCAGCGTTGCAAGGAGGTGAATAAAACCCTTTTGGGGATGTTGCTGATTTCTCCCTGGCCTGACTGAAACAAGTTCTGCCTGTGATTTGATTTAGGCTGGCATTTTTAACAACATCCACAGCTCTCTGATCACATGGACCTGGAAGGATCCTGACTCCTTTTAGCCGTGCTGAGCCTCTTGTTGGCTTGTCAAGACCAACAGCACAGCAATACAAAATAGGGGGGAAATACCCAGCTAATTTGCTTCCTTTTCTCTCAGGTTGCTCAAAGTTCGTGAAGATAAATTGAAAAATAAGGCAGAAGAGGTACCACAGGCACCCCAGAAGAAAAAGGGCTGCTGCTGGTGATGGACAGACACCCCACACATTGATTTGAAACTGCACCAACAGCCAGAAAAGCATCAAAACTGTCCATGGACACCTCCTCTTTCCCTGAGTGTCTTCCTTGCCTGATCGTCCTTGGATGCTGTGGAGGACCCCCTGCCATTCCCCCTGAGCACACCAGCCCTCCAAAATACTTCTCAGAGAACTTTAGCACTTTTAGAGAGCAAAATCAGGCCAAGAAAAGAGGCAGAAAAGGAGCCCAGCTGGGTCTGAGATGCTGCAATGATACTGGAAGCAGCAGGGAGTAAACCCAAGCCTTGGGACAGAAGAAATGAAAGCCTGAAGCCATCCAAGTGTATAAAACAAGGGGGTTTAGTGCTGTTGGTGCTCTGGGCTCTGGGGACTTCTGCTCTGGCTTTGCAATCTGATTGGATTTGATCAGGAATAATGAGATATTCAATATATTTTAAATGCACTTAAATCTCTCCAATGAGACATGGTAAAGCTAATTTTTCCCTTCCCTGGTTTATCCTGGCAGTGAGCAGTGATGGGGCTTAACAGAGACTATTGAATATTTTGCTCAAAATAAATTCAAAAGCCCCAAGAGCTTGTCCATGATAAGAAGAAGATCAATGCTTGCAAGAAGTTTTTTTCATTGTGTTGTCCCCAGAGCAGAATTCTGGACTATTGCAGCAGATCTCAGGCTGGGCAGAGAACGAGCTGCTGCATCCTGCCCTTCTGCTCTTTGTGAAGTACTGAATTGTTTTTAAATCCAGCTTGAAAAATCTAAATAAACACATGTCACAATTTCAAGTTTGTTTTGTTTTTTATTAATCTTTTTACAGCTTGATTGAACTATATTTCTACAGAAAAAAACAAGACATACAGACTAATTGAATAAGAATACAAGTGCTATATTTAAGTATTTTATATGTTCCATGTAAATTCCCAGCAGTTCAACAGGTGTATTTAAAGACTGTGCTTATGTGCAGAGTTTGGGGATATAATTCTGCCTAGTTGGGTTTGCTTTTTGTTGCCACTATTATTTATATATGCATAATGGAAAAGCATAATAGTAGCCAGTTTGTGCTTTTAGAAAAAATAGAGTCATAAGAGGAATTGAGCTTCTAGCAACACTATATATTTTCATCTATAATTATATTATATATATATATATCAGCTTCACCAGCCAGGGCTCAACTTTGCAGCGACTCTGGAATTTCTGAATCTTTAAGGGATTACTTATTTTTTGTGCACACCCCAATTTATCACTCCAGTACCTCTGTACCCTAAGTCTCCATCCCCTGTGTCTCCCCTCCACTGACCTCAAGTCATTTTCCTTTGGCCCTATCATTAAAGCACTTTATTTTCTTAATGCAATATATTCAATGCTCCTATTCCATGTTTATCCCTCTTTACTGTATTTCTTTATATAATATTTTTAGTGATGGAGCAGCTCCTCAGGAAGGGTTTATGTGGCTCAGAGCTGGGCCTGGGTTTGGTATTTGGGATATCTGGAATGGCTTTTTCTTACGGTTTGGGACCCTCTTCACTATTTCTTCTTTTCTTTAAAAAATAATATAAATAAAAATGTACTTTGCAAATTTGATCCATGATAAGAGAAGCCCCATTTCAGCTGGATCAACCCAAAAACTTCTTTCTCCTGGGTCTGTAACACTTCCCCATGTAAAGCCACCTATCAGATCAGCTTTTTCTTTTGCCTAAATATGCTGGGATTGTACATGGAAGATGCTGCTTGGCCGAGTGGCAGCAGGATTGTGCAAGAAATGGTTTTATTTGATTCCAAAATGAAGAGTTGAGGCCGTGGAGGCTGAATTTTCCCATTAGATGGCAGCAGCTGCAGCAATTCCTCCCCACTGCAATATTGCTGCTGCAGGGAAGGACCGGGGAGCTCGAGCAGGGCCCAAAGTGGGAGCGGAGAAACAAAAGGCTTCCCAGAACAGCAGGCAGAAAGAAATGTCTGTCTTATTCCCCTAGAAATAATCTCTAGAAAAAAGGATGGAGTTTTTGCCCAAAGCATGAGTTACTCCACTCCAAACATCCCCGCCAAACCTGGAGATGAATTTTTCATTGCCAGGCTAGGAGAAACACTGGGCAGGCAATAAACCACATTGGAAAACACGGGCAGCATGTTGCACTTGAAAGCATCTTTCACCTTTAATAATTCACATCCCAGCAAACATTCCCACTCCAGGATCAAAGGCACCGCTCCTTTGCAAGCCATTAAACGCCTGCACGAGTATTTGGAGGAGGATCAAGGCCTGGGATATTAATAGCAGGAGGGAAATGCATGCTTGTTTGGACCACAGGATGCTTTTTTTAAATCAGGTGCTTTCCTTTTAAGCTGTTTGAAATTCCTCAAGGCGCTCCACAAGAATTAGAAGAGCTGCCTCAGCCAAGCCAAGATTGGGAAGATCTCGGATACCAGCCCAAAGGCAGCGGGCGTTTACCACCATCCTGCTTGGATGAATCCACCTTGGAAGCCGAGAACCCACACAAGCTTCTGACAAGTTGGAACAAATCTTCAACCACAGCTTTCAGTGCCCCAGCCATGGGATTTGGGTTCTGCCCAGGAGTGTCTCCCAGAATTCCACCTCATTCCCCTGGAAAGACAGTAAAATCAAGCCGAGGAGACAATCCCTCTCCCTGGGCTGGTATTGACAGGGCAGGAAATCCAAACCTGAGTAGAGGAAGTCCTTTTTCTTGCAATGTTTAATTCATCTGCAGAACTCAGTGCTGCAGGAAGTTGTTGAGGCCGAGAACTTAAACAAGGTTGAAATTGAAACAAGATTGCTCTAAAGGGACCTGTTTTAGTGGAACAGGGGGAGTGCAACGTGAAGATCTTTAAGGTTCTTCCAACCCAAACCATTCTAGCATTCTATGAAAATGCATTGGAGAGATACCAAAAACACCGATCACATCCACAATCAAGAGCTGACTGAAAATATGTTTAATTGCAGTTAAGGACTGAAGTTCATGTCTGAGAGCACGGTGAGGCTGAAAGCCCTCGCTCCTGCATTTGCCCAAGCTTTTCACGCCAGGGGTGCCTCCAGGGACCTTCCCTTGTCCCATCTCCAGCCCTTTACTCCTCAAAGCCTTTCCCACAATTTTTAGGGCTTTCTACATTTTTTTAGGGGGTGTTAACTGTGTGCTTGTCGCTTGACCTGTGGGAATGGGCACCCATGTCCCCCATGGGGCTGGGGATAAGTGGGGTTCAAGGGGGCACTCTGTGGGTCTCCCAGGGGGTGCTGGAGGGTCTGGGGGGCTGCAGGGTGATATCGGGGTCTAATGGGGTGCTGGGGACTGGAGGGAGGTGTTAGGGGTGCTGTGGGATGTGGCTGTGAAAGATTTTGGGGGTTCTTGTGTGTGCTGAGAGCTCAGGAAGATGCTGAGGGTTCATGTGGGTGCTGTGTGGGATGTCTTACGGTGCCGGTGGGGTCCTGGGGGCTCGGCTGTTTCCTGGGGGGGTCTGTGAGTGATGGGGGATCAGACAGGTGCTGGGGTGTGGTCTCAAGGTGTCTCAGGTAGGTACTGGTGGAGTGTCTTGTCTGTAATGACGGGGTCAGGCAGTTGCTGGGGGTGGTCTCAAGGTATTTATGGGCTCAGAGGGCTGCTGGGAAGGGTCTTAGGGGTCCTGAGGAGCTCTGATGATCCAAGGGAGGCTCAGGCTGGTCTGGGTTGAGGGCAGTCACAGACTGAGATGGGTGCCATATTCTCCATATTCTGGGCTGAAACATGCAGGGAGTCTCAGCGGGACACTGTGGGTGCCAGAGGGGAGCGATGAGGGTGTTGAGGGGCTGTTGGGAGGTACCGGGGTGGTTGGGGGCCCTGAGGGATGTTTGTGGCACTGGGAGGCCCTGGAGCTGGCTCGGGTGTTGGAAGGTCCTGGGGGGTGTTGGGGGTCCCAGGACAGTGCTGGTGGTCCCAGGGCAGTGTTGGGGCGTTCTGAGGCGTGTTTGGGGCAGTGGAAGGACAGGTGTTGGTGGGGACCTGGGGGGTGTTGAGGCTTCAGGCCAAACAGG